TTTTTTTATTTCTTTGATCTTTGCTACTTTGATATTCGCATCTTCGATTTTAATATTAAATATGATTCCGATTCCACCTCTCTTGTTGTTCCCTGGTCTCGTTGTTGGGTTTTCTGTATTATTTACAAGTACTATCTACAAATCTGAATCCATTTGTTCAGATAATACGATGAAAAGTAAACGTTCATCGAGAGGAAAATTAATTCAGCCTATTTTCGTAAAGAATATCTTCAAACTTCATTTATCGGCATTATCTAGAAACAAAAGCATTTTTAATTTTGAATTTATGCCCCTTTCTTACTTCAATACTACAATTTCCTCTTTTTTACTTAAAATAAACATAAAAAAATTTTTAGCTAAATTAAATCTAAAAATAGTGAAAAAAACTTTTTACTTCGCAATATTCTTAATGCTCTTATTTTGCATCATATTTTTTTCCTGTCCTGATATTACATCCATTGTATTCAGGGCATTTTCCAGAAGGGCAAGATTCCATTTCGTTGCATCAACAATGAAAAAAATTCTATTATTACATTTAATGTTTAAATTTAATCCTGTAACGCCTAAGGATGGCAATGAATCATTATTTAATCACCACGATAAATTTAATGATCTTTCAAAAGATACAAACGAAAGTTCAAACCCATCCGCATCCGATCAATTTAATACCATTATCGTTGAAACTTCATTATATGAACAAAGAAACCAGAATATTCATTTTTCCATTTCTACAATAGACAACGCCGCACTGAAAAAAAATTCTTTCTGTTCTAATTATAAAATAAGAACAAATAATAACTTATCTCAATCTCTCGATTTTGAAGTTTTCAAAATAATAGAAAGTTCGCTCTCTATTCATTATAATCAATTTTATAAAGTGCCATCTCCTGAGAATCTTATTATAGGTTTGCATTACTGTGGTTACTCTGCTTCGGATATCGAAATTAAATATTCCAAATTTCTATCTTTACGAGCACTAAAATCGAAAGAAGTATCTGATCGATTAAATCAACAGTTAAAATCAAAAGAAGTATCTGATCGATTAAAATCAAAAGAAGCATCTGATCAATTAAATCAAGCATCTGATCGATTTAATTCCACTTCTAAATTGAATGCAAACCACATGATTATACCGAAGAGCAAAAATATAGGTTTAAATTATGAAGCAGTAGAAAAGATAGAGAATTATGAAGTTAAAAAATACACCATTGATGAAGAGAATTA